AAAAAATTCACGAAAAGGTTGATACATTCGCTCTTTGCCTTCGTCCACTCTTGCTCCGCAACTAAAACAGGTTAAGTCTGACAATGCGCACACATAATATACGTGTTTGTGTTTGTAAGCTGGTATAGGCATGCACCAATCCGAAAGTTCGATCACCAAACGGTTTGTTGCCGAACGTGTTCGGCCTGGAAACTTGATGCGAGCGAACGTGTTCGGACGAAGATTGCAAATACGATAGTTTATATTTTTCTCATCAGAGATGTGCGGCGAGCGCTCTGCTCAGAAACTATTAGGACAAAATACTGCAAACCTTATAACGATACATTTATAGGGCTGCAACTTTTTGTCTACTTTATTTACACAGTGAGGAAAAGCATTTTTGCATGAAAACAAAGTAAATCAATCTGCTACAGAGGCCACATTACTAATGTAACAACACAAGTACACATTCAACAGTTGTTAGACAGTATTGTCGATTTTAGTGGCATCAATGAAGATGTTCGAATATGGATACAACGTATTGTTACTATTGGATTTAGCTGATTATACGAAATTCAAATGGATAAAATTAACAGCATCACATTTTAAAGATCATGCATTATGTTGGTCAATGCCAATAAAAATAAATTTCACGATTGGGATGTATTTTGTCAAATGTTAATAAAACAACATACACCAAGTCCGACATCAACTACAACAACCAGGCAAACGATCGAAATAAATGACAATAATAATCTAACAATACCAGCACAAAATGATTTATTACTGACTGAACTAACAACTGGAAGACGAAACAACTCATCTACAAATATTTTGAATAAAGAATTATCGTTCACAGATCCTCTCAATAAACCCTCATCATTAACAAAGTTTTCAAATTCATCATCCACGAAAGATTTTTTTACCACAATGGTTGAACATAAGATGAAACAATTGCCGACATTTAGTGGTAAAGATAATGGAAAGGTTTGAGATTGGTTAGAAAACATTAAACAAATTGGCAAAATGGTTAATTGGACTGCTGAACAGTTACCTTGCATAGCAACCTTAAAATTATACCTCACAAATTTATCACAATCATTCAATAAATCAAACAATCATCGGCGGAATCAATATCAACAACAACCAAATAATATTCGTAATCAACAAAATTG